AAGTGTCTGTGATGCTTTTTCAGCAGCAGGTGGTTGCAGACAGCATCATAACAGTTGCAGTGACTGCACTCAAACAAACAATGCAGACTGAACTCTATCACTTGCTTGAGAACATCTCAAGTTTTCCTCACAGATCTTCTGCTCAGGCAGAGTGGGGTGTTAGTTATGTAGTAGGAGTTTTGGGGGGGGGAAGTCCTCTTTCACGATGGAATGTCTGCAGGTGGGACAGGTTTGGGATTTTCCCCCCATGCAAATATTACTGATTACTGTTTTCATGCTTTGGCCTATTCCTTTTGAAGCACTAACCACATGGCAGTTCAGAGGAACACCCAAGTGGCTTAGCCTTTTGCTTCTTTTGTCTAAGTGGTTTAGGTACTTATTTCCCTCTGAAGATCAACAGGTAGGTAGGTTCCTTTGTGACTTGACTGCTTCTGAAAACTTCACTCAGAACAGCTTGTGACCCAGCCAGGATGCTGTGGAGGCTCAGACATGTGACAGAAACATCCAGTTTGACTTTTTTATATGCTTGGTAGTTGCTGCCAGTTGCTAAGATTGCTCTCTAGCACTAAGCACAAAACAGTGGCTGCAGACAAGTACCAGCAAAGAAGTGAGTTACTTGCTTTGGCAGAGAGAAAGATCCCTGAAGATGGAGTTTTGACCTTTAACTGATTTTACTCAGCTCATCAAGTGAAAACTCAACAGGATACTGCTTCATTCAGGTGTGTCTGGGCTGTAGTGGCCAAATACAGCTTTCCCACAAGTAAAGTTGTTCTGGGTGGAGAAAGGAAGGGAAGTGGAAGGAAAATCTGAGGATAAAGGGGACCAGAAGAGTGTACAGCCACAAAGTTCTAAGTTTCTTGTTGGAAATCAGTCGCTGTTTTTGAGCTATAAGGACAGTTGACAGTGTAAAAAATGTGGGGTTTTTTTGTGAATACTGAAGTTGCATTTTCAGATTAGTCCCTTTAGCTTGGTCTGTTACTTCCTTGGAGTATTCTGGCTTTGGGCATGTTCAAATACACTTTTCTGGGGTCCAATTTTAACTTCTATGCCAAAGTTTTTTTCAGCATGTAAACTCAGGAGGGAGGTATGTTTACATTCAGTCTCTGGTATAGATCAGCTCCTCTGTTGATGTACAATTCTCTTTCCTACAGTCGATTTTCAGTAGAGGTGTTGCAGTTTATTTCAGCAGAGGGACAGGCCTCAGAATTTATTAGCAAGACAAGCAACTGCTTCTGGCGCCATAGACAGCTCTGGAAGCGTTTTTCGTGTGTATGCATGCGCCTGGGTGTATGCTCCTGGGTGTATGCACTTGCAGATGTAAAAGCCAGAGCACATATATTCTTTCTATATAAAGGCATGTCTTTCTTTTATTTTAAAAGAAAATAAAGTCCTGTTTTGGTTATGTTTCTTAGCTCCAATGCAATGTTGGAGAGATGAACACTGAGGTTTTTACTGACGGGAACCTGCTGCATCAATGTACCCAGGCTAGATGATATTTTTCTATGGCCCAATTTCAGGGAGGCTGTGCCAAGGCTGTTTTGTACACAGAAGGAGAAATCAAATGATTTGCAGCATTATCTTCCTCTCTGGTGATACACTGACAGTTTTGAGTTGCACAGAGAGTGAATAATCCAGGGTCAGAGGGGATGGGAAGAGACAAAGGTACTGAGTAGTCGGGCTGGCATCCCGCTCTCCCATAACTCCAGGGAAAATTTCTCTTTCAGCTTTGCAAGAAGCAGGTGAGCATGTTCCTTCCAACTGGTCTGATGATCGTGTTACAAATGCAGGCATGCCTGTCTTCTAGGAATTCCTTCCTTTCCATTATAAAGGGTTTTCATTCTTCTTGGGTGATCAGAAAGAATGCAGAAGGAATCTGGAAAAGCAAATGAAAGGGGCTCACCTTATTTTAAAATTTAACAGAGTTCACAAGTTCTCCCCTAACTTGAAAACTTAATTAGCATCTGAAGCAATACCTCTTTTTAATTTAGATCATCAAATTAAATTTGGAAAGAAAGCTAAGCACCAAATTCTAGTCCTGACAGGTAACAAAAGCATGAAACCATTTTCACATGCATATGATGCATGCTGCTTTATGCCAGCCTTTCAGAAATGTAATAAGCAGGGTGTGTTTGGTTGGGTTTTTTGTTTCGTCTTTTTTTGTTTGTTTGTTTTATTCACCACCTGCTTTCCTGTTCTCTCTCTGACTTTTTTTGCACGACAGGTCTTTTTGATGCTGCTTTTCCAGAAGTGAGAGGGCAGAGGGATGGAGAGAGCTTTTTCCTGTAGTCTTTTCCGAGTCCATTTAACTTGCTAAAGCAGTTGTTTAAAGCAGAACTTGGGGGAATAGGAATTTCTCCTTTTGCAGGGAGACCAGGGAGAAAGGGGACCACTTTTCCCTGACTTAGGGGAATGCTGCTCCCCTCCTAGTGCAGGTGAATCTCTGCTTCTGCAGAATGACAAGTAGGCTCCACTAGGATTTCTGATTCTTTCCTGGTGAACTGTCCCTTTCACTTCTATGCACCTGCTGATTTAAAAGAAATCATGTATTTTAGCAACATGCATAAATTTGGCAAAATTATATCATGTAACACTTTTTGACTTCTATGGAAGTTACTTCACTCCTACTTGCTATCTTTTTTTACCTGTCCCAAATTTCACATGGTTAAACTTTTGCAGCTGAGATTCAGGTGTTGGTGGCCAGCAGTCTAACTCCCTCATTCTAATTTAAGATCTAAATTGCAAAGCTTTCAAGTAAAACCTTTTAAAGAGCACAGTCATACGTACTTCTAAGTACATGCTAGCTATTAAGCTCTCCAGCTGACAGAATATTTAGTGTATAATGGTCAAATGGCAACTGTTTAGGATTAAATGTGTTACTGGACTGACGCCTTCCATTTATAACTGCACTTAGATGCAGTTGTCAGAGAAATGTGTTTTACTTGTGGTTTTGCTACTAGCTCTTCCCCATTCAGGCATGATATATAGTAATACCATTGCTGACCATTCATCAAGTGGGAAACAGATGGCACTAGTTTCCCTTCTATTGAAAGATTGTGTTGAAAGGCTGCTCCTGTGAGAATGGCAGCAACGATGCAAAACAAAATATTTTCAGAATATATGTCTGATGCCAGTCTTTGCTAGAACATTACTTGTAAAACATGCATCTTGTTCTGCTGTGGTGTGAATACCAGCTGGTGACAGAGATCATCTCACCAGTGTCTGGATTTCTGGAACAAACAGGGTTAGAAAGTAAATCACATTGTTGATATCGGTTCCGTCTCTTGCCCTGTAACAGCCAAGATGTTCTTGCTAAGTTTTTAGCACTGATGAACCTTGTGTCTGCAGCTCGTCTCTAACTTTCTGAAGAAAAGCACCAGATCATGGACCTGACATTGGGGTGGTCAGACAGAATCTCAAGGTACTGTTTTGTAGTTGAGAATTCGCATGTGAACATGCTGTTGGATCTCTAAAGGCTTGTTAAACACATTGTCCTCAAGAGACTGTCTCTTGAAGAAGTGCATAGGATGCTAAGAAACAAAATACATACTCTTAATTATTTGCCTAGACGTTCTGTTGTTTATGTATCTTGACCAGCCAGGGATACTAACCTGATTTGCCTGTGTGCTAATTTGCTACATGTCCCTGAAAACATATCCAAACAGAAGTAGAGAGTAGTTCAGAGTCTGTCCATCCCTCAACAAGCCCATTCAGCAGTTCCTAAGAAATCTGGCAACATTCGGGATAACTTTGCAGCACAAGTAGCTCACCTAGGGCTAGGTTTTCCCAGGAATGACTTGCGCAAATATCCAGCAAATGTGCACAAAGGAGAAAGGAATACAGCACTTCAAGCCTCTGGCAAATAGCGTGAGTTGGGACAGGAGGGAGGGGAAGATCGATTCCCTCTGTCTTTCCTAAGCCTGGAGGATCTCCTTATTGATCAGCTTGCGTATGTCCCTTGCTGCCAACAGGCTCTGTGACAGGTTAGGTCAAGACAAGCTATTTGGAGAGTTTACTTGTGTCTTTCCAATATGTTTGTGTAGTGGTAATTGCAAGGAGATGCAGCCTTAAGTGGGCACCAGTATTCTTGTGTAACTATATGCTAGATGGAAATGTAAACATGTACACTTTCAGGTGAATATGGGTTCCTTCATGGATCTTGTGTGAGAGTATTATCCAACAATATTTAATACAATCTTTGGGTTTCTGTTCTCAGGAACCTGGGAACCTTGTATGTTTATTTTGCAGTGCTGTCATGCTTTGATCTTACTCTCTGGAGTGTAGTTTCACTTTTGGAGCACAGTGACTAGGCCTGGGTTGTTCGCTAGCTTTTGCTGTGGTGCCACAAAAATACGTGGCATTTTCTTCCCCTCACACCCCCTCCCTGTCTGTCAGTAGGGTAAGCACAGTGGTAGCTGCAGTTGTTTTGTGGAAGCATGTTTTTGGCCTCAATTGAACCTACTTTTCAATATTTTTTTTCTTTTGTAATGATGTGGCAAGTCTTGGGGCTGTATACTGAAGATTTTGGGTTAATTTTCTCTGTCCTTCTGGAGCATATTAGAATTGCATCCCTTGCCTTTCTGCAGATGGAAGATACCTATACCCAAGTTGGGTTGCTGGCATTTCAAAGTCTGTGGGACTGACTAGGAGCTCCCTCTCACCAGACTTACCTACAAGAGATGGAGATGCTGCCTTCCAGAAAGTCCTGCCTGACCTACTGGGTTTTTCAATAGTATTTGAGAGGAGGAGAGGTGGCTTTCTGTTAGGTTTTACGAGAACATGACAGCTTGGCCTTTTGTTAAAGGAAGAGGGAGAAACCTTGTGTTATATGTGTGGCTTCATACGATTTTGCTGCTTTTTTAAAAGCAGAAGTTCTCAGCAGTGGGAACAATTCTCAGAGCTTCCTTTAGCAGGTGACCTGTCCCCTCTCTGAGCATTAGTGTGTGATAAGCAGCAGAGCTGGCTGTTTGCTCCTTGCAGTGGGTGGTTGAGGCAGACCTTGTGCCATGGTCTAAGAGACATCTTAGAATGGTCCCTGCCTGTGTTATGCGACAGATGCTGTGTGGCATGTGAGGACTTGCTGTGTGTCCAGGCTCAGTGCCAGGAAAGCACCAGCTTTTCTTGGTTTTTGAAACGCTGTGGGAGCTCTGTTTGCTCTGACAGCTTCTTGTGCCATGTCAGACTGTGTCTGCGCTGGGAAGTAACTGATGCTTGGGGAGAACCAATTTGGTGCTGGGGACACAGGATCATAGAATCATGTGTTGAAGGGGTCTTTGTCATGATGGCTGCAGTAAGTTCACTTTAACCAGCATTAAAAGTTTTGGCCTGGAAAACCTCCACTGTATGTTACTGCTCTAATGGCAAATCCCAGCCCAGGTACCAAAAAGGATAGGCAGACCTCTAAGAGCAGCATGGCTTTTGGCTTTGTGGCTGACTTTGCAGAGCTGGAGGTTAAGAAGAAACAGCTTCCCTGTAAATGGGAGTACCCTTTGCTCTGGCATCACTAGCTGTGGCAGGGATGTGCGATAGGCGCATGCTGAAATGCGCCGCAGGGTCCTGCTTCCCACCCCTTTTCTAGGTTTCCTTCCCATGGAAAGCAGGGCAGGGAAGGTGGGAGGGTGAGAACTGAGCCTGTACTGACATGGAGCTGGGATGCTCAGCCAGGCCTGAGAATGGAGAAGCGCTTCTGGGTCCTGCAGTGCAAACATGGCCACCAAGGGCTGGGTGGGACTCCACCCTGCTGTTTTTAGAGTGGCTTTTCAGGTATGTCTGCAGCCTGGAGGTATGGCTGCAGCTCATTTAAAGTTACTCCTACTCACTTTCGACAAAGTTTGGCAGGGCTGTTTCCACCAAACACCAGTGGTGGTGATGAGGAAGTTCCAGTGACCCAGGGCTTGGGCAGGTTCACACGGCCTGTCCTGCAGCCTGTTTTACCACGTACATAGGGCTTTCATTAGCCAGGTCATCGGTACTCACACCTCTGGGTTGTGCTGTTGTAGATACGCCCTTAGAGTAGAATTGTGCGGTGATGAATTGTCATGAGTCTTGCTGGGTATTGCTTAACACTCCAGCTGTTAATTATTTTTTCTTTTCTTTAATAAGACAGTACATTCCAGGTACATCTATTTTAAAGCAGTGCAGGATAAAGCTATGGCCTAATCTAGCAATTTCCCATCCTGAATAACAATTTACTTTTGTTTTGTCCAGTGAACTGCCAAAGATTTTTCTTTCAGTATCTAACAGTGATAAGTAACACTAGCTCCTTTTTGTTTTCACAGGCTACAGCTGGGAGGAAAAGATGTTTGGCTTTCACAAACCGAAGATGTATCGGAGTATAGAGGGCTGCTGTATTTGCAGAGCTAAGTCTTCAAGTTCTCGTTTTACTGACAGCAAGCGTTACGAAAAGGATTTCCAGAATTGTTTTGGGTAAGATTATTTCTTTAGTCAACATCATGGTCAGTTATGGTGTTGTTCTCCAAGCCATGATCCTCACATGCTGTCCCTCTTGCTCTGGAAGACTGAAGGGTTAGGTTAGCAGAGGTGTGTAATTGGGAAAGTCGGGCTTCAGCGTCTTCACAACTTTCCTGGCCAGCCCAGGAGGGGCTGGATCTGCTGCTGTGTACGGTACCATTTTGTTGTTAATTTTACTGTTGCTGCCAGTGGTGAGCTGCTGTAGTTCCTAAGAGTGAAGGGTCAGTCTCGTGCCTCTCCCACCTCACAGCACATGCAGGGATTTATTTAGACCTCTCCCAGACTGTGCATTTTGCACTTGTTCCTTAGAGGAGGTGTAAATTCTCACACAAGGTGGTAAACAACATGGGTACCTGGAGATTTTCTGTGGCTCTGAAGATTGAAGGGTGTTAGGCAAAACTTAATGAGTAAATATTTAGCAGTTCCAGCTGGGTTTACGCAGAGTACCCTGTTTCAAGTGTCCCTGTCTTTGTTCAAACGGGGCATATCAACATGATATTAAACTTCCCATTGGAACTGCATTCTGATGGAAAGCGAGCATCTGGTAATTAACTTTCCAATTAGCTAATGTTGCATATGATGTTACCTGAAAGCATCAGTAAGCAAAACTATAAATACCAGTGATTTCTTTTACCAGCTGCTAGGACTACAGGTCACAGCAGCTGGTAAAATAACGAAGTATTTAAACTTATTTGACATACCTTCTGAGAACTTTGAAATTCTGTATAAATTTGTGTCCCTGAAAGTCAGCAAAGCAAGTTCTTCTGTGATAGCTTGTGATTATTTTTTATTTTGTTTATTAATTTCTTTTTTCCCCTGAGGTATAAGAATTTTTCCTATTTGTGCTGTAATTTTCCATGAAACCATTTCCCTTGGAAAAAGTCAGTGTTGTCAATAGCTATTTTCTACTTTTTCTTTCTAGTCTTGTTGCATTACCTCTCATCAAAATCTTAAGCCCAAGGGGAACTTTCATGTGCTGTATTAAAAATTATATATATATACCAGTATTGCTTCTGTATCTCAAGTGCTTAACTTTATGTGTGTAAATCTTTGCAGTCTTTAGAAATATTTCTCTCTCCCCCCTTTTTCAAGAAGCACTCCTTTCATGTGCAGCTTTATAGCGCTTTGTATTTACTGTGGATTTTGTACATAAAGCTAGTGCTGACAGTTTTCCTTATCATGTTTCTTTGCTCCTGTCCTTGGCAGTGAAAAGACTGTGTGAAGACTCGTTGCTTCTTTTTGTTGTTGTTGTTAACTATAACAAAGAAGCTTGCAATATACCAGGGCCTTTGGTCTTGTGCTATCTGAAATATGTTTGCCAAGGTAAAAATGCAGTCTTAACACTGAGCAAATAATGGCTTATCTGAGCCTGCCCCATTCATCTATAAATGCTTCAAAGTCTTCCCATTTAAATAGCTGAAAACTTCTACAGTGTATCCCCTTCATATTCGTTTTAGCATGGATTAGCAGTAGAAATGGTTTCTGGAAAAAGCTTGTTAAAGGGAGCAAGTATTGCTGTCATTCCAATGACCGCTGCTTCTGAAACCTTATCCTACACTTACGCGGGAGTGTGTTGGGTGGTATTTGTTACTCATCCTTGAGGCTCTGTGAGAAAGTTAAGAGCTGATTAAGCTTTTGTTGGATCTCTGAAGTCTATTTCCAAATGTACATTCAAGGAATATGATTATTCCTCCTCCCTCCTTCTCCAAGCCAACCAACCCACTGGAACTGTTGAGTGGGTGTTTTTTGGGTGTTTTTTGGGGGTTGTTTTTTGGATTTGGTGTGGAATGTTTTTGAAGGGTGGTGGGACTGTTGTTTTTAGTGCCCTTCTGGAAGCAGATTACAACATCTCTTATTTTTGTATGGAAGAGTGCTTTGAAAGTGAGGCTTAGTCTTTAAACTTCAGTGTTAGAGTACCCCAAATGAATTGTCATGCCCAAAAATGAGAACATGAGAACCCTTCTTGTCTAGCAATTTTTATGCTTCTTGCTGTTAGCAGGCAGAGGTGTGTGTTTATTAACTGTTGTTAAGTGGCTTTTGCTTTTTCTCCTTTACCAGGCTCCACGAGGCCCGCTCAGGAGACATTTGCAATGCCTGTGTCCTTTTGGTGAAAAGATGGAAAAAACTGCCAGCAGGATCCAAAAAAAACTGGAATCACGTTAGTCATTTATTTGTTCTCCACCCCAAAACTAACTAGCCTGTGCTTCAGTCCATCCTGTTAGAGAGGGGAGGTGCTAGTGAGAATTTGATGTTTTCTGTTTCTCGTCCCACCCTCAGCATCTCCAAGTCATTTCTGGAGTATTTGCTGTTACATGGCTCTTACCTGTCTTTGGTTTACGTGCAAATGGTGATTATGCAAGCCTGGGAGGGAGTCGCAGACTAGCTTGCTGTGTAATTCCTTGTTTTCACTTGGTCCAAAAGTCTCTTATGACACTCAAAACATTTCAGATTTGGCCTCTATCCAAAATTGGTTGCTTTTTTTAAATACTTTGAACAAGCAAGGTGACTTGCTCAAGCAACACATAAATCAGTGTCATTTAGTCAGATAATTACAATGACTAATATCTTGCAGCTATTGCCGCTCATATATTCTTTTTTGATACAGCTAATTCAGTTTGGGCCTAAGGCTGGGAAGATAATCAGAATTCTTTGTGTATGTTATAATCTTTATTCAAGAAACCTTGATGGGAATGGGAAGGAGAACTATGGTTATTGCTACCACTGCTTTTAATCAGAATTTAAATTGATGATTTCCAGGGCAAATGTTTGGCAGACACTCTTAACTGAACCCGTACTGGCTTAAACAAATGTTGTCTAACTAAACTGAAATTTCCAGAAATAGGAAAAGGGCTAAAGTTGAACTGAATGTGCTTTTTAAGCTAGTTTACTGCATTTTCCTACAGACCCAGCCTCTTGCAAAACAGATATAAGCGAAACATATGAGTGTTGGTGCACAGAACTGCTTTGGTTTAACTAAATTGGTTTTGAACACCTTCAGCTGGGTCAGTGCATGTACTTTGATTAGGGCAATATCTGGGCATGATGCAGAATTATGCATGCATTTTCTGTGTTCTAGGTGGTAGATGCCAGGGCTGGACCCAGTCTTAAAACAACATTGAAACCAAAGAAAATGAAAACCCTCTCTGGAAGCAGAATAAAGAGCAATCAAATCAGCAAACTGCAGAAGGAATTCAAGCGGCACAGTAAGTGGATCCAAATGGATTTTGGCAATAAACTTTAGCCTCCCTTAGCGTAGTTTACTGTTAACTGGCTGAGCTGAATCACCACCTAAATTCAGTTGTATGCTTACACATTTGGACACTCACTGTTCTCACACTCCCTTGTATTCCAAGGGCTCAGGAAGGGGGTGGAATGAGGAGGGAGAGCTGGTGTGCAGTGTGGGCTGTGGGGGGAATGGGAAGCCTGGCTTGAAAGTGTAGGCAATTGTAGGCATAAAGCTTATGCCCCATGGTTAAATGATGTGTCTCTAGAAAGAACTTCTTGGGCAAGACTCACTGAAACTAAAGTTGGAAGAGGGTTTTCCCCTGCTCTCAGTAATGCACTATGGCCATTTCAGCTCTTTTCCCAAGACGTAGTGTTCTGTTCCTAGCTCTGTCAGCCATTTTCTTCTATACATGTTTTCAGCCAAGGCTTTCTATTTAACCCAGATTTTTCCCTCCGGCTTTAAATTCATGCCATGTTTCCTCTCTACGGTTTCCTTACACCTTCCTCTGCCATTCTGTGATTTCTTTGCACCACCTCTTAGATTCTTCGAATAGATTTGGATTTGTAGCTTTCCAGCAAAGCCATCTGCCAGTTATACTCTAAATACATATTAGTACTTCAGGTTTTTCCTCTAAAGCAAACCTTCCAGCTCCTTACCTGTTACTGACCTGGTCTCCTCTCTCTTTCAATTATCGTACCTGGCCTGAAGGAAGAGTGCTGTAAAGAATCAGTATAGGTCCTGATGCGAAGGGCTTGTATCTCCTCATTCAGTGAGCTGTAGTTGATCTAATTGTGTTGCTTTAGGTACTAGAGATAATAACTATAAAGGTAGTCAAGTAGACCCTCTGTTGAGGTATGTGTCTGCACAGAGTCTGTAGTTCATAGTCTCGATCCAGCAAAAGCTCAACCTGTTGCATTAATGAGAAGAGCTTTGCAACTGAATGGGTGAAAAAGAACGTTTACAGTGAGAAAGTACTAGGTTTGAAGCACAGATCTTCATCATCTTCAAGGATCTTCAAGTGATTCCAGAGCAAGAATAGGATCTTTTCCAAAGGAAGGCCAGCATAGGCTATGTTTGAGAGCCAGGAACTGAAACCTCATCCTGAACCTCTTTTTCCCTTGTGTATGGGTTGTGTGCTCTGTCTCCCAAATGCTCATAGTCTCTACTGAAACTGGCAAGGGCAAGTGAAAAATGGGTTGAGGTTTTTCTTGTTAAAGTCTGTCTCTCTGTTCCCTATGTACATGTGACCTGTCAAAAGTCAGGAAGAGGGTAAGTCACTGGGTGCATGTCCTGATTCTTGTATTTATTCTTTCCCCTGCAGATTCTGATGCCCACAGCACCACTTCAAGTGCCTCTCCAGCTCAGTCACCCTGTTACAGTAACCAGTCTGATGATGGTTCTGACACAGAGATGAGCGCTGGGTCCAGTAGAACACCAGTTTTCTCCTTTTTAGATCTCACATATTGGAAAAGGTAAAAAGCAACAGAACGTGTGCTCTGTGCAGATAGCAATTCCCGTACACAGTGCTTGATTCTGCTGAACTTCATGAGTTTTAAGGATATATTTTAAGTTGCAGAGTATTATATAATGTCTGTCTGTGGAAAGAAATGCCATGTGTTTAAGGCATTTTCTTCATCTCCCTCCAGTTCCCTAAATACTAATACAGTTGCACTTAAGAGGTAGGAAAACCACAAGATTTTCTGGGAGCTGATGAGCTTGTTATCTTTTACTGCTTGTTGTGACACAGTAAGCCCTTGTTCAGTTATTGCTTTATTGAAATTGTTACTTTGCTGCTTCCTCTCAAATCATGTTTGCAAGTGCATTGTAGTCAAGGTCAGTTCAGCCCAGATAGCTGAGTATGTGAAACTTCCCTGGGAAGCAAAATGGGAGATGTAGTTTTCTATAGACATGGGTTTGGATTTGTATTACTTTGTTGGGTTTTATTTTTCTTAAAGTGGTGTTGTGGATTTAGACACAGACTTATTTTCTCCCTGAGGAGGTTTTTCCCTCTTATCCCTGAGCCAGAGGCTCAGAAAAGTTATGTTTTGGGTCAGACTGATTTTTTCTTTTTTTTTTTTTTAATTTCTGTAAATTCTCTATATTCTAAACACACACACAAACTATCTGTGTCTCTCCCTGCCATTTCTTCCAGGCAAAAAGTCTGCTGTGGAATTATTTACAAAGGGCGTTTTGGGGAAGTTCTCATAGACACTCATCTCTTCAAACCTTGCTGTAGCAATAAAAAGTCCACCACTGAAAAGCCAGAACAAGAAGGACCGCAATCTCCAGCAATCTCTACCCAGGAGGAGTGGTGACTTCCTTGGATAGCTGCAGAAGGTTATACAGATCCTCTTTTTCTCTGGAAAAATACTAGAAAAGTGACTTGACTTTGGACACCTGCTATGCTGCCAAAAGACTATTCCCTAGAACTGTTTTTTTGGGTTTTAGTGCTACAATTCCACAAACTCTGAAGCCAGTTTATATCCTTTCAGAAAGACTGTATATAATATTTAAGATTCTATGGAACACTTAGCAAAGCTGAATGCTGCTGCAAGGTTGTCGAATCTTTTCTCCCCTTCTTCCCCCTTGCTTCACTAGTGAATTTGAGGGTGGGGTTTTGTATATTGAAAGTATATGTAGTTCGTGTTCCTGTATTGACAGAAGCAGTGGTTGTAAGGCTTTTTTTTTTAAGTTTGTTGGTAACCTCCCTTAAACCCCCAAGAAAATATTTCATTCTTAGACATGAATGAGTCAATGAGATGAGCTAATACATAGAAATGATATGTCACCTCTCTAGCTATATAAATATATATTTTTAAAGGTGTGGAGATCTCGCCCTATACTACTGACGTAACAAAGACAATTATTTCATCCCCCCTATGTGACAGACTGGCAAACTGCAGACATCTCTACTACAAATGGTAGCTATCTGAGAAGGCCCCCAACATAAAGTGCCCTTCAAGAAGGGGTGGGAGGGAGATTTACCCAAGTCCTAAACATAGTGAGATGGGAGGCTACTTTGGTTTAACCCAGTGGCAAACACCCTGGGCTTCATATTGTAACTGACTGGCAATTAGAGGTGGACCAAGAAAACATCTTGATGCCCAAGTTAGGTATAAGTGATGGCCAAAACTTAATAACTGCTATCTGCTGGCCCAGTGCAGCTGAAATGTGTCCACAGATCAGACTTTCTGCTGGTTTGTGACCTGACACAAGAACCAGACCCCTTGATAAGCAAATCAGGTTCTGGTCCACAATCTGAGTGCAGCTTGGGGTCTGGATTCATGATTGCTGTTTTGGAACACTTCCCCTGCAGTGCTTCTTTGTGTTTGGATTTGGGGTTTGTTTTTTTGTTTGTTTGTTTGTTTAAACAGATCAATTCTTTTGTGAATGCAGAGTATGAAAAGTTGTGTTAAGAATGGTGCTGTGCTGAATCGAGGCAGCTCTGTTTGCATATGTGATCAAAAGGTAGTATTTCTTACATGGTTCCCAGACAAAGTTGTGTGCCATCCATTGTGACACACCTTCAAACTCCATTTTGCCTGTAGGGTGGAAGCAGCTTCCTGAAGAGTGTGCTGCAGATTTAGCTCCCAATTGCTTTATGTTCTTTTTATGAAGGTTTAATTTGTATAAGCTGGGAATTCTGCTTTTTCATTTGTTTGCTTCTGTTTTGGGGGGAGGGGGGATTTTCCTTACTGTTAATCTCTTGGGATATTCTACGATGGATTGTTACAGGCTTCCCTTTCTGCGAGAGTCATCAGCATAATACTGTGGTGGGTAGGGCTTAGGACTGGATTTCCATGTAGTCTCGCTTCCTGAAATGGGAATGATTATCAAATTAAAACATAGGTAGGGAAAGATGTGCAGGTTTAAAGAGAAGCCTCTACCCTCAAAGCTTGTTTCTTCCTTAATTTTCCCTCTCTTTCTGTTGGGTAAGCCAACCTCAGGAGAGAAAGGACAACTAGGATAAGCAGGGTTTTGACATATCGCAGCCTTACAGCTTTCATTGGCCTTTGCTTTTCCTAAGCTCCCTGAGATTCTGAAGGGAGGAGAAAGCTGCCTGCCTTGCTTTCATCTGCAACCAAATAGAACCATTCAGGTTGGAAAATACCTGTAATACCATCAAGTCCAACCATGGATATAATGGCTACTTGCTTGAACAATGGCTTAACTGGGTTGGTTGTGTTTATTAGGGGCTTGAGCAAGAGTTCTAGCTGTTTTTTGCAGACACCTGCTTTCATTTCAGTTTGTCTTCTCAGCATCAGTAATTCCATACACCTAAGGCTGCAGTGTTGGTGGTAGGATGTGCTCTGATATGGATCATCTCTTCTGTATTTATTTATTTATTGCTAGATTTCAATCACCAACTGCTTCCCCTACTCCCTCCCACCTCTTCCATTCCTGGTAGTAATGCAAACATGAACTGTATGTAGTCATGCACTTTGTATTAATGTATTAGAAATCTATGGAACCTGTTTTGTACTTTTATACTGTTCAGACACCTGTAATCCAAACTTTTTTTTACTAGGTTAATGAATAAATTTAGACTTATTTAGAAAATCATTTCTCTGTTTATTTCAGCTCTGTTCCATTACTGAGACTAGGTGTTTAAACCAGCTCAGGCAGCCTGTGTTTCTGTTTGAACAAGACTGTTTTTGAGGGGGCAGGAGGGGAAATTCTCTTCCTATTTAATTTGGAAAGAGGAGCAGAGGAAGGGAAGGAGATGGTGTTTATTAAGATAGACAGCTATCTTGGGGCAGCATCACAGAGTTTTTCCCTTGGCACTGCATGTGTCAGGCATTCCTTTACTGGGAATGGGTGGTGCTTACATTCCGGGGGGGCATGCTCTCTGTCTAGCTCATCGGCCCTCAGCAAAGGCCAGCTCAAGCAATGGTGTTCAAGGGTTGGTGCTGACAGTATTTGGAAAGCTCCCTTTACAGATCCAGCCAAGTCAGTGGAACAGACTAGTGCCGCTCGGCTGGAGCCTTGAGCGCTTCTTCCCGCGACAGGCGTAGTCAGCTGGATAGGCTCCAGCAGACTGGTGGGAGCAAGGTCTCTGGCAGGAGGTGGCAGTGAGTAACTGTGTCTAGAAGATGAGGCTGTTCCCCGATAATGGGGAAAACATTGCAGCTTGAAGCATGATGGCTTGTTCAAGGGATTATTTTGGACTTTGGTGGAGTCACTGATTTATTCCTGCTGATTTAATGGTGGTCTTCTTATAAATCAAGCACAATGATATCCAGAGATTCATGTAGAAATTATACTGGGGAAAGCTCTGCATAGACCGCAAGGCCATGTGGTTTTGGTACATTAGCATCTATTTTAGTTATATTTACATTATCTGCTGTAGGTGCCTAACATGCCTTGGGTGGGATTGCATCCACCTAAAATGAAAACCTCTGTAGAGTTATTGAAGAGAAGCAGTTACACCAAAAAGCAGTTTAAAGCAGGCGAACCCATGTGTATCCCACTCTTTGCAACTTCCACCTTTTTTCACATCATGAATTCCTTTTCCCCCTCTTCTACACTGATGCTGCATGCCAGTGACTACAGGTACTGTCTGGGAAACCTCTGGGTGCTGAGAACATCAGTGTTGATGAACAGAGGGGCAGGTAACCTCATGGAGGGGTACAGCTGTGGAAGTAGCCCACCTGTGGAGGAGGAAGCTCCTGTGAAACACTGGGGTGGCAGGACTTGCAATCTTCAGAGCAATGTGAAATTAAATCCAGTGTCAAATTCTGTTTCACCTGAATCAGCTGCCACAATGGCAAGTGTGACATGTGCTAAAATACCTGGCAGTGCAAGCATTGTAAAGGTGCTTTATGGGGGATTGTATGATACTCCACAGATGAAAAGAGCAAGGCATATGACAAGGTATTTTGTTGAAGGTCACCAGTGGACAGGGAGCAGCTCCATGATTTCCAGTGCCTGAGCTGAGCATCTGGTGCTGCTGAAGAGGCAATGGCAGGTTCTCTGCTTTTGTATTGTGCTGCATGAAGTGTAATTTTTCTTTCTCTGTGACTGCTACAGCACTGAGCCTCTTGCCTCCTTTCTGAGCAGATTGCTGGGTGCCAACCAGCCCCAGGGACTGAACAGTTCCAACTCTTCCAAACTCATGTAAATAGAGTGTGCTGGGCTGCATCAAAGGGAGGAGCCTGGCCAGCAGGTCAAAGTGGGGGATTCTCTCCCTCTGCTCTCATGAGATCCCACCTGCAGTACTGCATTCAGCTCTGGGGCCTCCAATACCTGGAGCAGAGAAAGTTCCTGGGAGACCGATACTTAAAGGGCAACCTACAGGAAAGCTGAAGGAGGACTTTTTACAAGGGTTGTATTGACAGGACAAGGGGGGGATGGCTTTAAACTGACAGAGGGGAGAGTTATATACTAGGAAAAAATTCTTCACTATGAGCGTGGTGAGAGACTGGAGCAGGCTGCCCAGAGGAGCTGTGGATACCCTGATCAAGCTGGTCTAGTGGAAGGTGTCCCTGCCCATGGCAGGGGCAGCTTTAAGGTCCCTTCCAACCCAGACTGTTCTGTGATGTAAGAAAAAGGGAAGCTCCTTCTAAATGGTTCTTGTGGCACAGAATGTGATTATTAGGTTGTCCAGATAAGGGTAAGAGCAGTTATGCCATTTATCACAAAGAATTTAGGTTCTGTTTTTCTTTTATGCTTATTAGTGAGCGTTATTTGGAGGATATTTTCTAATGCATCTGAGGGCAAGGTTATCACTGTATGAGATGCTGATGTTTTGCCATAGCATCCTGCCCAGTATAAGATTGACTGGGAAGGGACAGACTGCTGGCTGCCCTAAACCTTCCACCCTGGGCATGGCAAAGGACTGATGATGATCCCGCTCAGCCTCTACCCTCCGGGCTGGCTGCAGGCTTCACCACAGACACCACTTCAAGCAGCTCAGCAAGAACCTGTCCCCAGGTCTCTGCTGAAGCCCAGCACAGGACAGGGAGAGCTGGAAATGGACGGGAAACGGGGTTGTTGTGGGTGAGACTTCTTGGAAACCTGAGGTGTGGGCACTGGGCTCTTTGGCGGCTGCAGAGGGATGGGGTGCAGGTGGCTCTTACCGCTGACCTCGGCAGCGTGCGGGATGATACCGGGGAAGATGCGGCCGCTTATGAGGCGGTTTAAAGGCCTCGGTACCCAAGGCCAGGAGGCTGAGCAGCCGCGTGCTTTGCTCGGTCGGGAGGTGGGGTCCCTCCGCGGTGCGGCGGCCGAGCCGGGGGGTCCCTCAGGCTGCCGGCGGCCGCGAGGTGGAGCTGCCCCGCCCGGTGGCGCTGGGCGCTCGGTGGTCAGCGCGGGTGCAGCGGGTGTCAGACCCCACGGCGTGCCCCGGCAGCCCCCTGCTCAGCCCGGGGGTTGGTGGAGCTTCCCGTGAGCCCGCTCAGGAGTGGGCAGGAGCCCGAGTCACCGGTGTTCGAGGCTGCGCTCCGCACCGACCCGGCCCGCCACAGAAAGGGAACAAGACCCTCCTCCTCAGTCATGTGCGGAGGGAGGCAGAACCAGTGCACACGGGGCTGGGCCCTCCACTGCTTTCCCTCCCAGCGAAGAGGTGCAGCCTGAAGCTAACCAAGTGAATCGGTTGGCAGGTCACAAACTCATAGAATAGTTTGGGTTGGAAGGGCCTTAGAGATCAGCTGGTCCCAGCTCCGTGCCATGGGCAGGGACACCTTCCACTAGACACATCCAACTGGCTGTATGGGTTGTAGTTGCAGGAAGCTGGTTGTTCATAGCTCTTCCTTGCTGCCTGGGTTCAGAAAAGCATGTGAGTGCATGATGTTAAAAGAAAGGCACAGCACTTGGGCAAAGAAGGCTGGTTACTGGATGTGGGACCCGTTTCTGAGGAGGAGCAGCCAGACAGAGGTCGGGGCACACCACGAGTGAGGGCAAGAGGCCAAGGAAGAGAGAGCGCCTGAGCCTCTTTGTTCACAAGGAGTTTCAGAGCACTTGTATGGCTAAGAGTACCAGCCTGGCTTGGGAAGGCTCCACTGTGCCTGTAGGTAATACTTCCAGAGTTACATATAGACCTGTGGTGGCTATTAAGGCACTCTAACAGTAGCTTCAAGGCTCTGGGAGGTGCTTTTTTGTTGCCTCGGAGATTTTACCTGACATCAGGAGCATAAAGTAACTGTTCAGGTTCTAGTTTAATCGTTGTGTGTATTCTGTTTTAATAATGGTCCTTATGTGGCTCTTCAGGTGAGGATTCTCGTGGCTCCAAGGCTCTTGAGAAGAGGTGCAGAGGGAGCAGAGAGCATGGTGAGCCTCAGTGGTGCTTGGCACAGATCAAGGGCTGATCCCAGTTAGCCAGCTTGAGTCTGGACACCACAAGGTGTTGACGGTTCGATCAGGCTCAGTGTTGTATGCTCTAACTGATGTGCAAGTGTTCAGAGTAGTGATAAGCAAGTTAGGGAATCACCATGCCTTCTTGAGCATTCTGGCTTGGTCTTGCCGCTGTCCTTCATCCTTCTACAGCTTAAGAACCAGGCTGTGGTGAGGAGGGAAGGGGCAGTGCTTCCAGTCTGTTGAAATGATCACGGAAAGCTTATGTGGCAGGGAAGGAAGTGGCTGGGTATTTTGTCTGGATAACTGGAGCTGGCCTGTGTGGTGATATGGAGCAGCTTCTCCTCACTCCCTCTCTTTCTCTCCCTGCCACCTTCCTACTTCTAGAAGGCAGTTTGGGGCAGAATGAGACAAGCTTAAAAACACTTTGGGGAGGTGGTGTTAATGTTTTTTATGGAAATGGAGATGCCTGTCATTAAATACCTTTTAGGAAGGGGTGTTAAATGGTAGGCTGTTTCTTCACTGTGGAGCAGGAAAGTAAAACTCCAGACTTCACACCTCCACAGGCCCTTTGCTTGGGTATTGCTTGTTGTCCTCTAAATGAACACTTAAGAACCAAGAAGAGCAAACCAGCTGAAACTCTTCAAGCACTGTTCCCTGTGCTCTCCCCACCCTGCACTTTGATGTCTAACTAGGAGGGGGGTGAAAAGTAAGAACATGGAAACCTCGGTATTATTATAGCAGCATATATAATAATGTATAGAATATTATATATTATTATAGTTGTTGCCTGGTAACAACACTTTTGTGAAGGACCTCGTGCATGTTTTCACATAAACTCTTATTTTCAGATTGTAAAACTCAGCCATAAAGTTCACCTCCTTGCTGACACCAGGCACTTAAGGTTTGACTATAAGCACTTCAGTCAAGCAAATTTCCAGTTAAAGCAAAGCCCTCAAAATCTTTCTTATCTATTCTAATTCTAATTTGCTTTTTCTGCAGTCTCTGCACTTGAAAGTACAGAGTAGCTATGTGAAATTATAATAAGCATGCTCTATAGGTTTCTGAATGGAATTAAATGAAATGAACAACTAAAAATGTTTGCAGAGAGGTGAAAATCCATTGCCAAGCCGGGTTTGCACGCTTACTCACAGCCACAGATAAACCTTTCCTGGCAAATGTTTCTGTTTGCCTCCCTCAAAAGCTTCTATAGTGAAGTATTTGCAGTATCCCGAGAGAACAAAGATTATGATGAGTGTGTTTAGCTGC